CATATCCAAAAGAAATCGAACTGCGGAATATTCCAAGTGGAGTTGAAAATGCGTAGTATGCAATATCTCATGTCTTTGCAGGCAAAGAACCACAATCCCGAACTGTTTATTTGGAAAAATGTATCAAGACTAAAGTAAATATAAAAGTGAAAGTGATATATGTTTAATTATTAATAATTTGCATACAAATGTAAATTACTAAAAGAATGCACGTGAACATTTGCTTGATGAAGCCTTAATGAATTGCGGGCAATGTTATAAAGTTTTGCTTACGAAATGGATTACGCATAAAGTCCTAAAATTGGGCGCGTTGCTAAAGCAGATCTTAAGACCAGCGTTCGTTTCGATAAACATTAATGATGGACAAATTAATAAAGCAAACTTTTCTTTCAAAAATGAATTTTTGAATTAATAAAGCGAAAAAAAGTTTTCAATATGGAAATAGAAATATATTGCAGTTTACTTTTTTCTTTTTTTTTGTATGAAAAAGCAGATTAACACTTTAATATCATATTGTGCTTGGAACATCAATCGTTTTGTTAAAAAGTGGTAATTGCTTCGAATTGTTTTGAGATCCGACTAAATTGCAAATGATGGAATTACTTGTAAATTTTTAATTTTTTCTTTAACTTTATATTTCAACTAAGTATATTTTCGACGGTGTCATATACTTTCGGCGGTGTCTTATACTTTATTAATGCTATCGTATGATTTTGTTTTGTGTTCATAAAACCATCACTGTTCTGCATGTTAAAAACGGCACTTGCAGGGGTTTAAAAATTTTCCTAAGAATTTACGTTAGCGCACAACGCAAAGCAGGCTGCATGTTTAACTACTTTCAAATACGTATGTCCACTTTATTTTGACAGTTTATATGCCGCGCGCAATGTGTTTGCGCTTAACGCAATCATTGTATAGCGTTTTAGGAAATTGCTGCCATTGCAACTGTAAGAGTTTGTTTGCTCTGAGAGGATTTTTTCATTTATTTTTTAGTTTGATTTTGATTTTTGAGTGAGAGCGTTGTATATATTTCTTATCGCGAGATAGCGTACGTAAACATATATAACACTGCAAAATGTTCAATATTCAATATTTATTCCAGTTGCAATATTAAAAAGAAATTTCTCTGTATTTAACTTTTACGATCTTCCCGAGATTTTCCAGCAGAAGTTCTATTAAGTAAAAAAAAAACTTAATAGGAAATGTGAAAATGTTGTAAACTCTAACTGCTTGTTGTTGTTCATGCGTCGTTTATCGAGCAGCTGTATTGTGTTTTGTTTTCCTATTGCATTCTTACATGTAATTGAGAATAATTTTCTTTACACAAAAAAAAATTGCCTTGATAAGATTAATTATGGAACAAATTACTTGCAAAAATTTAAATAAAAATTTATACAATAATAGTAACTAAGTAAACAAGGTGAAATTATGTAATTTTTTGGAATTATTGAAAAGTGAAAATTACGTCGCGTCTTAAAAGAAAAGTCATCTATAGCCTATAAAAATGAAGAACAATGTCGCGGTGAAAAGCTCGTTACAGAAAAATTGCTTCCAATGCTAATTCAATTTAATTTCATTTTATAGATTTTTCTTTAATAAAACAGAAAACGAGGATCAACAATTATTTGCCTTTATTGTTAACATTTATT